GATGGTTGGTGAGAAGACGACCATGGGTTTATGTGTGTGTAAGAGAACAAATATGGAGAGAGAAAGAGAGGGAGAGACAGAACGCAGGCCGGTTCCTGACATTTTTTAGGCCCTGGGCGAACAAAAACAGGGGCCCCACTGCAAGAAACAAGGCTTTTAACAACGACTTTTGTTGTCGCTAAAAGTCCGTTTATCATTAGAAATAGTATATAACAAAAGCATGTCGTCGCTATAACTTGTGACACATGTCATCGCTAAAAGGCGCATCGTCAAAGCTCACTTTTCTTGTAGTGACCTTCGATAAATACAAAAAAAAAATAGATGTTTTTCATTAGTATAAAATTGAGTACAAGAAATGCTAATAATTTACTGAGTAAAGAAATCTTATTTATCTTTATTATAGATATATAAAAGTGTACTTAAATTTACGTACTTCTTATTATGTAATTTTAAACCAAGAGTATATAAACTATGGTTGATAATTTTTTATAAAAAGTAAGAATTTTTTTACTTTATAACAAGAAATATGTGTTATTTTAATATAAAAAGAGAATTCGTGTTAATGAAATAATCGTGAGGTCAATGAGAGATTAATAATAAAGAAGATTATCAAAGTATTATAGACAAGTAGACAAATGAAAATCGATAAGAATATGAAAGAAAAGATGATACATTGAGATCTAGTAAAAATAAATAATGAATTAAAAATATAATATGCAAGCTCAACAAATGATTGTTTGAGCACTTAAATAGAATCATGTGGTGTGGTGGAATCCCAATGAAAGATACATAAGTCAAACAATTGATGAAAATATTTAAATTCTATTTTTCTTYTTTTTTTGCTCAACTAAAATAAGATGTTAATATTAAAAGTTTATGGAAMATGACATATATAAAAGACATTACTAAATACATCTAGTAGAAATTTTTTATTGATTAATCACAAAACCATGAAACACGTCATAAATCATAATAACAATAGATTAATTGTCAAAAAAAAAAAAGTAAAATATTTTATGTAGAAACAAAAATAGATAACAATAGTCAACAAAAACAATTAGAACAACATAACCAAATAGCAATAGTCAATAAAAATATAAATTGATAAAACGATCTAACAAAAATATATAGCAATAGCAAGCACATGATCTTAACGTTGAATTGTTGAAGCACGAAAATAGTCAAGCATATAGAGATAGCAATAGCCAATATCATTAGACCTTGTTGGAGATAAAAAAAATTAGATGGGCAATAAACAATAGCATATAATGAATGACCAAGTAATTTTTTTTATTTTCTTCTCCAATGTAATTAGTTGATATATTTTTGGGCCTTTATTATCTACTAAATTATTTCTCTCTTATTATATGCTACAATTTTTTGGTTTCTTTAAT